GGAAAGCGGTTCAGGAGCGGAAATTATCGAGAGATAGTTTTCTGACTTCGCAAGATCAGGACACAAAGGAGAAATACGAAATAGAACGTAGAAAGTGCAAACATATAATTCAAAGGGAAAAAATGAAATTTCTTAATGGAATATTAGAAGAAGCAGAAAGAAACTGTTCCTATGGTAACGCAAGAAATTTCTTCAGGATCATCAAAAAACATCAACACTTCAACATATAAACATATAAACATGTAAACATATAAACAGAGGAGGGTGGTATAAATCTGTGAAATCGGTAGAAGTGTTAGCAAGTTTGACAGAAGGTGTATCAAAACTAGAAAAAAGAAAATTTAGAAGGCATCCATGGGCATTAGGCACTTGATTGAGCTGGTAAAAATTAAAGTATGAAGAAGAATCGATAAGATAGATAGAAATGTTAGACATAGTGACAGATAGACCAAGGTTGCTTTTAAACCATTTAATAAGGAATAGATTATAGTCAACATAGAGAAGGATAGAAGAAGGGTTGATAGATAATATGAAGTGTTCAATAGAAGAGGTTTAGATTTAAAAAACTGGAATCGGAGTCACAGATGATAAGTAAATTGCACCTATGAGGACTTTGAATGAATTAATGACAGAAAAGCATATAGTTGCTCGAGCATATTAATATTGGCATTGATATGAGTAGATATTATAATAACTATGAGAACATCGCCTCCTCGTGAATAGCTACTGTTATTTAGGTTTCTATAAACTCTAAAGATTTAATAGTCAGAAAGGACAAGGTTAGAGTCGTGAACATCAGGAAAGAGTCGTGTTTATTTAAGGATGATGATATCATAACAATTAAAAATAGAATTAGAACTTCTAAAATTACTTAATTTAATTTTTAACCCATGAAACACTTTGATAGAACATTTTTAAACTACATAATTTAGAAATAAAAGGAGAATTATTTTTATATTGGTTTTCAAAATCAAAAAAATGTATAGTTATATCAATTTATACCTTGTAAAAATAGCACGAAGATAGGGGGACAACATGAAAACAATTAAAATCGATAAAGTATGATGGTAATCCGACTTCAAAATAAGTATTTAGTTTATCATCCAAACTAGTTAATCTTAACTAGTGACGTGACAATGGATATTATAATATAAAGAATAATCTTCATCTGCCTGAACAATGGGATGCCTGACAACTATATTGTGTTTACCGTTCTTCCTATGCTATTTTGAATCGGCATAAACTTAACGTAGGTATTTGCTATCTCTAGTGTTGGGAATAGATAATGCAAAATTGATCTAAATAAAGATGAAAGATAATATGTCCAAATTCATCTAGATAAAGATAATAGATTACAAAAATTAAAATATCTAGATAAAGATAAAAGATAATTTCATTTTTATCTAGATAAAAAAAAAAGATATTTTCAAAAAATGTTATTTTTTGGTCAATATTTCATATTCTAATAATATCTATGAAGACTCAATTATAATCAGAGGCGTATTTAAAAATTTCTTATGGGGGGAGGGGGCACAAACAAAAAGTTCAAAGTATACATAGTTGTACCTTTTCCATCTCAAAAAACTGTCATTTTTCATAACCAAATAATCAAAATACAAGTGTTTGAAAGAAACATAACATTTTATTACACAAATTTATAATAAAACATAGTTTTAAATATAATTTTTGTAATTACATTAACTGAAGACGTCTGGGGTGTCTATTAGCATATGCATCAACTACTTCTTAAAGTTGAATAATATTTCAGGGTGTATTCGATGGTATCATATTATCATGATCAGCAGCGAATTGGCTAAAAATTTCGGCCCGGGAAATCACCATATGACCGGCTCACCATTCAACAATAATAATTGTCCATAAAAGTCTCCTTTATTCATAGATTAAATGCTCCTAGAATTGTTTACATCACGTTTACACTGGGTTTTTATCACAATCATACAATTAAATACAATATACTTAAATACATTATTTTTATAAAATAATTTTTAATCCAAGTACATCGGCCCAGTGTTATAATACGACTACCGGCCCACCGGGAACTTTCCCGTTATCTCGGTGAGCCAGTCTGCCGCTGATCATGATATATTGATATTCCAGTATTTCACCGTGTACCCGTGCTTGAAAAATAAGAGGGCCTACAATAATAAATAAAGTATAAAATACGGTGAATGGGGGGCATGGGTCCCATGGGCCTACCCCTTAAATACGTCCCTAATTACAATCATTATTATCAATAGGTACCTAGGTGTTTAATGTTTATTGTAGTAATGTAGTGTACCATTAAGCAGTATTTATAAATAATGTATAATATTTAATGACAGTTAATCACTAAAATGTTACACAAAAAAAAAAAAAAAAAAAAATGAAAATTACTCTGTACGTATCATGATGAATACAGAATACATAAAAAAATATTTTAAGTTAACAATATTGTTTTCCATATAACATTAATTTGATGATTTTCATTATTTTATAAGTAGTTATGACTTTACGGGTTCCAAGAGTGAAGTAATGACTATTCAGCGTATAAGTTACGTATGTATACTAAAATCAAATACATACTATATTTGGAACTTCCATGGAAAAATAAGAAATTAAGTTTAAAAATACCAAAAATATTTTCCCGACTTGAAAATATAAACAAAATGACATACCAAGAAATAATTATTACTTATTAATAATACACGAATTATGATTATGAATACAAAATCTATATGTATAAAATAAAGTCAGGTTATTTACAGAATTTATAACTCAAGAACGGCTCGACCGATTTTAATGATTTCTGATTTGTTAGATTCGTCTTCATACAAGAATAAAAATAACTCTAATCTTGGCAAGAATACAGACAATTATCTAGATAAGTAAAAATTTTATCTTAGATAAGTAATTAGATAACTTAGCATTATTTATCTAGATAAGATAAAAGATAACAAAAAATTTATCAAGATAAGTTCCATCACTGGCTGTCTCTCCATTAATGTACGATCACGAACATTCGTCTTAACCAACAATAAGGTTGGGGGAGGGTTCGTAACAGCACGAGCGCATATACCGTTTACAAAGTCGCTCACTAACTAGAGGGAAATTACTTTTGTTGTAAATATAACTTTTAACACATGAGAGTTCTTGCCAATTTTGCGGCCCAACCTGATTATTTTCAAATTCAAAAGCAGAGACATAAAAAGTAGTAAAATAGATACAAACAGATGCTGTATATCATTAGCTATACGTCCAGTTGGTATAGTAGCAGAAGATTCAGGAAGTCCATGGAAAATAACATTATATGAGCATTTTTTTCTCTCTGACAATTCTTGAAGAATCTGATGAAAGTTGTCGTCAGATAAAGCGGGTGATTTATTCACTCTAGATTCAATGACACAAATCATATCGTTGAGGGTAGAAATTGTGTTACAAAAAGTGGTATTATATGCTCATTCATCAACAATTTGAGAAGCTAGTGAATCAATACTAGATTGAAGTTTACACTAAACTTTTTGTTAAATGTAAGGATTAAAGCCTTACGTTGAGCAAGAGTGGCATCCTGAGTTTTACGCATTACCAAAATTACTCCATTTAACTCATCAGATGATAGTGGGGTGGACGTAGGTGGAATAATCGAAGGCTTGGTAGATGTATTGATGGTATTATAGATATGAGTTTTATTAATGCTGATCAGAGACATTTGGTGAATTAAGATTAGTAGTAGACAGTAGGATTTATAGCAGAAATAACTCCTTAAAGGGCAGAAGATGGAAGGTAAATAGTAAGATCCACACATTTAATAATTAGTTAAAGAATAGTAGTCTATATCCAGAACAAATGATAACATAGTTGGAGTGGCCTTGACATATGACATGAACGAAATAAAAATAACGCAAATAATAACACAATCGTGTGCTACAGCATATGTATGTAAATGAGTAACAAATATCAATAAGATATAATAAATATAATTAATTTCTTATAAATAATTATCTTAATTTCTAACCTTCACTTTTTGTAGAAAAAGAAAACTGCACTTATAGAAAAATTTTATACAGACTGACTTTACACAGACAACAGTCATTACGCAAACTTGTAATAATTTTTTTGGGCATAAAAATGCAAAAACCCGACTACAGTTTCTGGTAAAAAGACAAAGAGACTAATGATTATATTAGTGTAACTGTTACTTGTGACAATACGTACATAATCGCATATCAAAAACTCTTTTAACACAGATTAATACAGTTGAATAATAACTAGAGTTAGGATGTTGATGACTCTTGCATTTCTTTCTCTTTGACTCTATACAATGCTATCCTAGCTAAAAATTGGTTTCATGTTCCCTTGATGCAGAATATTCTAATTTTATTTTGCATTTTTTTTTTTTTTTTTAATTTTTAGACATTTTTAGCAATAACGCATTTTTTTGATTTTTTAACGTTATTTTTCAACATTTTTAAATCATTTTTTCATCTTTTAGGTAATTTTTTGTAGTTTTTGTACAAAGTGGGGGATTTTTCTCAAATATTTAATTTTAACCCAAGTTTGGAAACAAATTAAATTTATTGTTGTGATTAAATTTATCACGTTCCGATATAATTTTATATAATGCTTAAAATGTAAACTATTGTTTATTAATTTTATTATTTCTAATTCATATTTTAAATTACTACTACACACATTACCATACCCATATCTCTTATAAAAATTATTATTTATAAATACATTTTTTTCACTTACCTACTTAATTAGTTTTTTATGTAATTTTTAAGGTAATTTTTTGTAGTTTTTATTGCATTTTTGCACTTTTTAAAGGACATTTTTGAGAATTAAATAAATAGATAAGTAATAAGTAACCAGTTTGATCTAGATAAATGTAATTTGATTTTTAACATTTTTCTCTTTTTTAACCACTCAAATCAGGTATAAATGTATAATACTTATACAAAATTATTTAGTTTAATAAAATTATTCTAAACGCAGGTACTTACACGGCAGGACCATGTGGTTGCGGACATCAACCAACGCAACCGTTTGGTTAGACGTAAAATTCGCCATGGGTCCGAGTTTCATCTCCACTGTCTTGATCAGTGGACAAGCGACACTACCACAAGTCCGGTCCGTTTCCTGACCGCCATCCCTGGCAAACATGGTCCCGAGTATGTCGCCAGTTCGTGTTCCACTTATCATGAACGCAACGAACGCATTTCCGGCAATCAAGCCCACGTCGTGCGCCACCTGCGACCATAAGGCGAAATCATTACATAACAATATTTGATTAAGACACATATCGTAGTTATATAATAAAATCAGGCATATAGTCAAATCATACTGACTATAGGGTGTACAATGTACTCGTACTATCATCTACGTTTATCACATCTAATTAGTTATTACCTGTATATATTTATGATTTCACTTTTAAAACAATAGTAATAAATTATTACTATTGTTTTAACGTTTATAAACAGTTATAAACATTTGTTTAATTTCATATACCAACGTGTTTTACATATTAATAAATAATACATGGCTTTTCTATATATAAAATAGCAATAAATAACTGATAGAAAATATATTTAAATTTTTAAAATAATACAAAATGTTTTTTTTATTATTTGCCTAACATGAAATAGGTATTTAATCAAATGCCAATCATTTAATTAAATGACTAGGCATTTAACTTTATCTGATTTTACTATATGCCTACAACACATACATGTGCATGATAATGTATCGCAAGACTGCTGATTATTGGTAAAAAATAATAAACATTCTGGTTGGGTTTCCTAACAGAGTTTATGTTCAACCCACTTGAAATATAATAATTTTTCATGCCAACTAACGTATGAGTGATGTATTTTTAATTTTTAATCCTCTGTAAAAATAGAAATATTGGTTTTACCATGATGTAAGTTTCGACCACAATGATAGCTTAGATGAGCACAATTATAAAAGGTTTTTGATAGTGTATATTTAGTAATTTTACAAATTTCCAACAGTTTTTATAATAATTGCAAAAACTAACGAAAAGCTAAAAAAACAACTACATTTAAGACATACTGATTTTCTACAAAATCTAATGTTTTTTCGTCGTAATTTTAAAAATAATAACTGTAAAAAATGTAATTTTCATGAATGCTCATGTCACAGTTTGCTATCAATGGTATAATTTTCAAAAGACTTTTTTTTTATAGCTTTTTTAAAAAAATATCGATAAAATAATTTTGGTTCCTCCAAACAATAAATGTATGATAAATATCGATTAATAAAAAAAAAATGAGTTTAATATCAAAAATAATTAGTTGTTAAATAATAATTAGAGTGTTTTAATATTAAATGTTGACAAAACATTAAAAATTGAAAGGATCCGCTACATTTTTTTAACTCAAATTTCATCAACTTTTCAATTTTTTACTTTAGGTTTAGAAATTTAATACAGCCTTTTTCATATCATTTTTTTTTTTTTTTTTATAAGCAATAAAAAAATATACTAGATGATTTATAAAATATAATTTTATAAATATAAAATGATTTATAAGCATAAAAAAAATCATCAAATTTTCAATATTAATTACTTAAATAAAATAATAATATTAGTTAAGGACATTTCATGGTTTCGAAATATTTAAATTTAATATATTCACGTGTATATTTACGCATTGTATATTTATTATATTTATATTTACGTCAAACGGTAATTTGCAGGATAATAGCACAGACTATAAGAAAACAGATAGCTCACTCGGCCGAAAACAATGGAAAAAAAATAAGATTCTCTAATTGGGTGCGACCAAATCAGTGTAGCTGAATGCATTTAACTAAATTATTGTTCAGATGTTATACAATATTATTGTATATTTGTGTCTATCATTTAATACCATTTGAAATTAACCATTTTAAAATCTATTTTCATTTAATAAAGATCGTAAATCAAGTATTAATACAAGCATATTTAATAATAAAAGCTATTTAATTATGTTAAATGATAATTGATCAGTAAGTTAGTGCTGTTTGAATTCGTTAAAGGCAATAGTTATAGTTGTTTATTAATTATTTTATCAGTTAACACAAGCTTTTAACAATGATGATGATGAAATCATACTTAACATAGTAAAAATATTTATTTCAATATTTGAACATTATCCACAAGAACAACAAAGGTAAGTACATATTAAAACATAAAAATTACATACAATAGGTAGGTAATCTAGATAAATCTATAATAGGTAATTATAGGTAAGTATTCTAAACGATTACAAAGGTCATTATTTTCTTCATAACTTAACTATACTTTATTTACAACATTGGACGCATTATATTATTATACAAGTCATATAATACATAACTAATGTTTAATTTATAATTTAGTTACAGATATTCAAACATAAATGGAACAAATGTAGTATTAAACAATTCAATTACATAGTAATTAGCTCATATTAAATTCTAATAAAAAAAGGTATTTATTAAACTATAATACATCAAAATAATTATAATATTAGTACAGTTACAAAAATGTATTTTACAAATGCTGTAAAATTTCTAACTTTCTGTTTTATTCAATAATATTAAAAAGAATATAATTTAAGCCTGGTATCCTTTCAAATAAATGAGTTAATCTTTTTAAAGTAGAAATTGATGATAATGAAAGAATATTCAATAAAAATTTATAGACTCTAGGTCCTAAAAAATAAATAGTTAATGCTAATTGTTTAATTTCATTATTTTATCTAAAATCTTTTTTTTTGTTTTTTTTTTTTTTTAAATTAATTAGGGAATTGGCAACAGTACATAATCCAGGTGATAAATATTTTTCACTTAATCTTAAAAAATGTTCAACTGTATCATAATTAGATAACTGTAAATTTAAACTTACTATATTTTTCTTTACATTTTTTATTTCTTGTTTTCCAGAATAAATCTCCATAACCAGTTTTTGTTTTCTTGGTGTGTTTGCCGATAAATATCCAAGTATTTTATTTGAAGAATTAATAGTTATTGAGCTCTAAGATTTATTTGAAGCACCAGAAATATTCATGAATCCACTTACATGAGTTCTTAATTCTTCAGTACCTGGAATTGAACTACTACAGCTACTCTGACCTTTTGAACTATTATCAAAATTCTGTGGGTCTTCATGGATTTTTGACTGTAATTTAGCCAATTTAGATCTTTCAAAAATTATTTCATTTAAAAAAATAATTAAAATTTAATTATTTAACCAAGAATTAGTGTATTAATATTAAAATTAGTTTTTGAAATTATTTAAATTATTTTTAAACATATTTTAATAATTTTGTTATTTACTTACCATTAAATACTGATGGAATAGCATTGAAAACTAGTCTGTTTTTTGTTTTAGAGTTCAAAAACATTGAATCTATAAAGTGATCACCACATACTTTGTAACTATTTTTTTTTTTAGTTCTTTGGTCAAATTTTCTGTACCACAATTTATTATTCATGTTGCTAGACAATCGTCTTTTGGATATTGAAAAAAACTTACATTCCTATTACTTGTTTATTTTTGCAAAATTGTACAGAACATCACATTCCTGTTTTTTTAATGCTCATTTTTTAATTTTGTAACTCAAGAGCACAATACAAAATTGTATACAAAAAAAAATAAATATTTTGAAACTTACACACTCAGTCAATGGTCAACTAATAAGCCACATGAAAATCACAAAAACAGCAACTAGAGGCTAGGATAACCTAACTCTTAAGGGATGTGAAAGGTCAAAATCTAAATAATACAACCCCCACGTCACAAGGCATGAATGGGTAGTTAGTATGATTTCAATGTTGGCGCCAGGTAGGAATCAAGACATTTTTTTTGTCATGTTTCAATAGAATCTTCATACCAGCACTGTGGTCACAGTGATTTCATCGCGGAGATAATATTCATAGTTTTGTTTACATCCCGAGTGAGCTATCTATTTTCATATAGTCTGTGGAAATAGTACGTGGAACATATATTTAAGATTGTATTATTTATGAGTGCACTGCACATACAATTTTAAATTTTCTCAAATTTTGCATATCATTAGTGAAATTAAAAAATAAAAATTTAAAGCCTAGGAACAATAGTACATTTTTTAAATTCTTCTATAGATTAACGGCGCTCTCTTATTAATCCACAAATATCCGTAGACCAGGTTAGGTTAATCTTAAAATCGATTTTAATTAATTAATTAATTAGTTAATTCGATATAATTCTTAATATCACATAAGGGCAATGCTTTACATCCCAATAATTTTTTCGGATTTCGGGTTTCGGGTGTTAAATATATTCGGGTGTTCAAACACCGCAATACAACATTTAAACAAACGTTTGGGTGTTAATAACCGTTATTATTCGGGTTAATATTAGTTAATACGGGTGTTAAGTAGTCAAGGAAAAATATTATTTTTCATTTGTGGTGGAGAGGCTGAACCCCCCCCTCCACTAATAAAACATTTATATTTTTCGTTACCCGCCTATGTAATAAATATTAATTTCTTATACAACTGTGCAACAGTTTTTTAGACCAAACTATCACTATGTTAATTTCAAGCAATTGTGTAACTATGATTTATTTTCGGGGAAGAGGGTGTTATTTTACATGAGTATGAAGCTTATAAATTGTGATATCTATTAAAATTAAAAATACAAACACTATGTTCTACTTCTAGTTAATGTGGGCATATCGCATTCGACAAAAAACAAACTATTTTGTATTCTGCGTTTGTGTTTGTGGCATAGGCGGAAATCGGGGGGAGGGGGCTTGAGGGGACTAAGCCCCCCAGAAATATAAAGTACAGGTCTTAGTCCTCTTAGCCCTAAAAATTGTTATGTGACTAAAATACAAAAATTAATGTAATTATAAAATGTATTTTTAATAACTGAATTAAAAAAAAAATATTCTGTGATAAAAATTAAATCAAATTCGTAAGATTTTACAAACTAATATTCCGTTTTGTTTACTTTTTATCTGACACTATATTCATATTTATTATTAAATCATTATACTCATTATGTTTAATTACCAATTCAACTATTGTATCACGTTATCTATCAATATTTTAATTGTCGAACTATAATAGTTTATACTGGAAGTTCTTAATTAATAGGTAAAAAAAAAAAACTTAGCTAAATAATTCTGATTATTATTAATTATATTTTTGTTAGAAAATTATTCAACTTCATTGTAAGTAAATAGTTTAAACTACTGAAAAAATATTGATAATATTGCATTGTTTCTTATATTCTTATGTATCTCATATATATATTATAAATTAAATTAATTTATATTAATTTTATAGAAACAATCAAAACTGATAAAATATCAAAATAACAAACTGAAATTTACGTGTTCATTTTACTATATATATATATATTATGGACCTTATTTCTGAACTTCTGAACTTTTAATTTCTCATCCACTCATTTTATTCATTATAATAACAAAGTAATTTAAGTTAAATTTTATCATGATATTTTGTTTAATATTTTCTAAGAAAAATTATACTCGTAAATTATCGAATAGTACATTTGTTTAAAAAAACTGAATTTTTTCCTGTTTTTTTTTTTTTTTCAGTATATTAGAATTACGGTTGATGATACAACACAATAACTTATATAAGAGAATGATAAAAAAATAAATTTTCTAAAAAAGATTGTAACAATATAGGTACATACCCCTACAATATTGGCAACCCGAGTATCTTCCCTGTTGACCTTTGCGCCTCTAGTGGAGCAATCACGGTAAAGATACTAGGGAATGCCTATAAATGTACAATAGATGGCGTTAGTCCTCTATAGTGTTTTAAATGTGATTTTATTTTTATATTAAAAATAAATAATATCATTAAAAAAGTAAATATTAACAGTAAATCGGACTCAACACCTAATGGTCCATGTCACCACAAACTTTGGATTAGTGATTCCATACAGAATCTCAAGTCAAAACAATAATATTTTTAACACTACCCACCATAATAACAACAAAATTATATAAAAAGGCAAAATGACACACCGAGCATCATCATTCCCGATACCAGTGTGGTAGTGTATATACGGCATTTCATTATTGACCTGTATACTGATATACTCTCCACCCTAATATTTTTCCCGATTTCCCGTGAGGTTGATATTCCGGCACATGTCCACACATTGGCCCCTGGAAAATTACACCAAACCTACGAGATCCGTAATAAGTAATAAATCAGCATTCAGCAAGAAGGATATTTAGAAGTATATTCAGTCGTCTATCTGTAAGCCAATCAGCCAGCCACTAGGAGGAGTTCTGCCCGTGCTGCATCCCCAGTGAAGCTCGCTCTACTTACGGATTTGAAGAAGAGCCATTGCTGCTGCCCAATAGTCAGTCCATTATAGGAGATCACTATTATTATAAGGTACAATCACATCAACTTATTTATTCTTTTTTGTGATAGTGAACACTTATTATTTGTTATATGCATATGTACACTTTTGGGAGTGTTCAATTTTTGTTAAATATTATTATTTTATTGTATTTTCTTGTATATATAGAAATAACCATTATATTAATTATTATTAATAACGTGCTCATAAGACAACAATAAATACTATATCCATCTTATGTATGTGTATGTCCGTTATAAGATAATAAGTATAAATTGCATTGCATTAATTATTTTATTGCAAGAGTCGGATAAATGTAAGAAAATTAAAAAATATATATTACATGTTAATACTCGTATACAAAACTATTAACTTAATAGTTTCAATAGCCCAGTCAAATTAGCAAAAAGTTCGCAATTAATTCCACGAAAGCTGCATTTCGATTTTTTTTTTTTTAGTTTATACCTCACTTATAAACATACTAAAATTCCTGACACCTACCCCTTGTGCGTAGCTCTCTACCCCTCTTCAAAGGGTGGCACACTTCTTCCACTGTTTTCACTTATAACTCGTCAGACTTTCAAGTTACAATAAAAATACCTATGACCTTAATTTTGGTCATATATATATATATATATAGAAATTATAAACGTAATTTAAATATAGTATTATGAAAATTTAAATGTAAAATGCCAGTGTATTTACAATATACATTATAATGCAATCAAAAATTAGTTCGTCATCATCCTTTTGTCTCATAAGTAGCTTCGTCCCTGCACGAGAGATCACATATTATTCACACCACTCCCTCGAATTGAAAGGGAATTAAAAACGGACAAAGACAATAAATAAAATACTCAAACATTGCATGGCGGTTCAGCCGTATACCGAACATGACGGCTTTTCACCTGAAGTCCTCTGGCCAGGTTTCTGGCCACCGCCTCCCGACGGCCGTTGCCCTCGAGTTCGCACTCCTCCCGGTCGGACAGTACATATGCCATTTTGGATGCGAGCATCATAAGTACCGCTGTTCGGGATGCCGTCCAGCAGCCCAGCCACGCACCCATCAGGATGTAACCAGGCAATAACACGGATACCTTGGGGTACAGGTGCACGGTGACGAACACTACTGACACCAAGTAACCGGCCACCAGACACGTCCGGGTGCCTAACTTGTTGACGGCCGTGGGCCCAAGCAACGCGCTTACCGCTGCCAAACCGAACATGGCCGACAAAAGTATAGACCCAATGTCCGTGGTCACTGTGGCAAAACCGCCGTTCTGTTTCAGCTTGTTCGGCCACCACCACGCAGATATGGAACCCTAAAAAACCGGAAACAACAAAAATTTTATAAAATTATCATGCACCGCAGTGGTCGTCTATTAAATAAATAATTATATTTTGGTAGGTGGGTGTCAATATAAAATTGTATATCACACTTATTTTTGGTGGGTGGATACCACTGAATGTGGCATGATTGAGCAAAGTAGTCCAATAGACGAAAACTTTGTACATGAAGAGTGTTCCATGAAGATATGACCACTGAAATATGGCTCACAAGGATAAAGATCACCAATATTCATAGTAATATTAATTTTAATTATATTTTTATATTTTTGTAAATCATTTAAGTATTTGTTTACTTAGTACAAAATCTTTATAATCTGTATATTTTAAACGACACAACTTTACCAAAATAACTCATTTTCAAAATAATATAAATACTGTACGGCTAGCCGTCATAAATCATAATCACGACACGTTGTCATTTTTATTTTGCACCATTATTATATTGAGTGCAATTTTATAAACCATAACCTAATTACCTAGTCACAAAGTGATCCCAAATTCAATTTTAGCTGGATAACATTTTTTTTCTTTAAATCAACTTTTTATTATGTAATTAATGTTTAAAACTATTTTTTAAATGAAAATGTAGTAATATTTACTAATAATATGTACAAAACAAACAATTTCCAATTGACATATTTAATTGTTATTTATTTTTATGTTATACATATTTAAATAATCTTTACAAAGTTATGGATTGTTTTCATAACTATCATAATAGTCTTCATCATCTTCATATTTATATTCATTTATTAATCACAATACTTTTGAATAAATCATAAACACATCGATTTAGATAAATGAACAACTTTATTATACGTCAGAGTATCATGATTTTTGGGTGTTTAGTAACTACTAATTACAAACACTAAAAGCAATGGAGCTCCTTGCCCCTCCCACTCCCTTCTATATTTACACATAAGTTTTTTCAATATTGAAAAGTTCCAATGTCTGTACATATCATTTTTGTTTTATAGTTTGGATAATTGATAGCAATGATGTGATCACCGAGTCCAATGATACTAAAAGGATAAGTATGTTAAATCTTCTGTGGTTTGCTCACGAGATGTTTTTCTGGTACTATATTGACGAGGACGAATTTAAATTCCTACACGAGACCTAGCAGGTAAAAAAACATATGTTGGTTCCTACATGATAAAAAAGTATATATGTAAGTTCCTACACTATAAAAAAAAGATGTGTATAGTTATGCTATACTATAAGATGACAAAATAATAAAAATCGAATAATAGGTACTTTTTATAAATAGACTGTAAATCATGACTGTAAAATATAACAAAAATCGTATTATTTTAAATTTGAAAAGGTATAAATAATTATAATAACATATTAAATATTCAAAAACTTTTCTAAAAAAAAATAATAATAATAATATTAAAAAGATAATATAACAATTATTTTTAAATAGTACCTGTATATTAAAATTGAATATACTGTTTAAAAATAATCGTTACAAAAAAATGTAATGTATTTATTGTTTACTATTTTTTGTTCACTATTTGTGTATCAATTAGTTTTATCTTAAACATGCCCCTGGGTTTGTGATCTAGGGTACCGATTACTAAAATATTAAGCTAAATATAAATATTCATTCTTGGAGTTTAGTACACGTATTAACTAGATATATTGAATATTTTATTTCGTAGTTATGAATTTTTTCTTCTTTTTTTTTATATAGACGGAAATTATTTAACCGATAAGTATTCATAATAGAACCCGTGGAAATCAAAATTAAGTATATGTTCACGTTTACATACAACTTTATACATATAAATGTTGTAAATGTAACAATATGCAGTCAAGTTATGAAAATAAATATAACATGTAACATTTTGATCAATCACATGTACATACCATCAAATTATAATTATTATTACATTTCAATATTTATACTGCCCTAGGACAGTTAAAGTCGTGTTTACACAACCATACACGGCTATTTTTAATTTCATGTTTTTTTTTTTTTTTAATTAATGTATGCCGTCTGATATTAAGTGTATTTAAAGTTATAGTTAATAGTTCTGAAACCGATTAAACCAGTTTTTGCTGTGTTTTGATTATTCATTTTTGTAAACGTATTATTATAGTTTGTTTGATTCTTATTTTAATTTAATAATATATTTCCAATAAGAAAATGTCATAATGAATGATATTTTAATTAGTGACGTCAAACGCAGTTACATAAAAATTTAAATTCAACAAAAGTCGCCAATTTTATGGACTTTGTAACTTGACGATGAATTTTTAATTCAAAATTAGTCGTATTGTACAAATATTATAATACTCCAGGCTATGTATTTACTTATTTATGTTTATGTATACACTATTAATTTATTTATATAATTATTTTATTATGGAATAAAAATACAACTATTATAAATCTAACTAGGGGTAGGGACTTTTGTGGCTTAACCTTCTAAAACTTAACTAAACTTCCTAAAATGTATAATTATAAATATAATTATTCAATTATTTCCTAGAATTCAAATGGATGTTCACTCAACTAATAATTACATTTTTTATAGGTACCTAGGCAGTTATATTCTTTTATAACTATGATTGTCAATTGACATTTGGTCAATATTACTATTTAGATCAAGCACAATGCAGATAAAACCACAAAAGATTACAATCGTCGTAGATTCCAAAGGCATATTTGAATTAAGACACTTATATCGCATTGCCATTCTAAATAGTTTATTTTTATTCTTATTATATTTCTTGCATAATAAATATATATTTTTCGTAAATATATATAACTTTTCTTCGAGTTACTGAATATGATTTCAGATTATTAAAATGGAAGCCCTTACGGTTGTCACATAACATAGGTTTATACTTGAACAACTTCTATCTACACCACAAGACACTATTAGCCAGTAATGTGCAAAGATAACTAAAAATGTATCTAGATAAAGACAAAAAATAATTGGATACAATTTATCTAGATATAAATAAAAGATAGTTCAAATCTAAATTATCTAGATAAAGATAAAAGATAAAATACTATTTATTTGGATAAAAAAAATTAAATTATTTTTATTTCATTAATTAATTTACACTATTTTTTTTATAAATTTATACTTTAATAATTTAATTTAATCAAAATTAACTTAACTTTGATCTAATAGGTACCTCCAATATAAATAATGAACAAAAAATATTTATACTATGTACATTTATGTAAGGAAAGTAAGTGATAAATAATAAGTATTTTGTTTTAAAAAAAATACATTCTCTGTAAATATATTATAATTTTATAATATATATATATTTATTTAACCGTAAAATTTAAGCCCTAAGTAGTAACACCAGTGGCGGATTTAAGGAAGGGGCCAGAAGAAGCTTTATATAATCCATTTGAATTATTGTCAAATAGCAGACTTTGATGATCCGAATACATTACAGTATTTTAAATAACTTTTACATGTATTCTAAGTACAGTATAGAGATTTTAAATACTTTTTTTAAAGTTTAATCTTATATTCTATATAATTACATTATTAATTTACCGTATAAATCGCATTTTTTCTCAAATTTAATAAACCTAATATATTGATGATTTCCTAGTTCTCCGACACTTGGTTCAATTATATCCATTTGCAAATCAGTAATTTTATTTTTAAGTTTGCCATTCTTCACGTTAAATGAATTCCAAATGAAAGAATTAATTCACTATTTTAATGCACCTACACAAATAGAATAATATCGTTCCCTATCATCGTGAAGTATAATTTTTTCAAACAAATTAATCTTTTAGTATTTACAGCAAAAAAATTATTTATAAGTACATTTTTTAACCTCGTTTTCGGTCTATGAATGCAATGGGCTACTACAAGAAGATTTTACTATATTGTATAACAATTTCAACAGACAAATATATCAAACAAGGATATTTAAGTTACCTTTAGTTATCTAAGTTAAAGACGACTCACCAGCGCCTAAAAACTGTTCAATATAGGCAATTTAAAATATATTCCAGAATAATACGGTCCGGATGAATACGTTCCGGGCAAATACGGGTTTCGAAGTTTTGATTCCGGAGAGATACAGTCCGGATAAATACGTTCCGTAACTACATATTCCGGGAAAATACGATTTATATACTTTAGATTCCGGCTAGATACGGTCCAGAAATATACTTTCCGGATTATTATAGCCTTCCTTCCCGAGCTCTAGTAATTACTGTATCTCATCACTTGAAAACGATATGAGACGTGTAATGAGCTACAGTAATTACTAGGGCTCGAGAGTTGACGAATTTAAAAAATATTAAAAAATGACCTAAAGAAAGATGCAAATATAACATAAAAATGACAAAAAATGATCTAAAAATTTAGAAATATTTGTTTAAATTAATAGAAATACATTTTTTTAAATATTTTACTCTATTTTACTGAAGCATTCTAAATAAATTTATCAAAACTTACAAATTACTCAATATATGGCTTAAAATTACAACAAATGTTCTTAAAATATGAAATTAAAAAATTACAATTATTTGTTTATAAATATTTATATTTGGAAAAACTTCTCTACACGTCCACTGAAGTGATTGAGAGACACAGACGAGCACTAACCGACGTTTTAATTTTCGTCATTTCAAAAATATTACGAAAAAAATAATAAAATTTTGGGCCGTAGCCATTTTCTTCCAAAAAAAAAAAAAAAGATTGTCTTCCATTTTCCTCCACATAATTACACTAAAAATATGTCTATTATCCTCCAATGTTATAGCCAGTGTTGTAGGATCACATTTTGCGCGTATCTGTTGATTAAGTTCTGATCGCGTTCTTATCGGTTAGAAAAAAACGCTAGTTCAAGTGTTCAACAGCACTCACAATTTTTATCAGTCGATAACTTTATAACTTTGATTATGATTAATAAAGATACTTACATATAATATATGGGCATATACGTATATATTTATATTGTTATATTGTTATACATTAAACAAACGTCGTGGAGCAATCGACAATACAATTATTAAATTGGAAAACGGAAAAATGTCTAGGTAGGTAATTACAAAAATTAAAATAATTATTCATATTATGTCTAATTTTTATTTTATTTAAACAGGTATTCATTTATTGCTGAAATGCCCTATAATTATAAAATAATATAATATTATAAACTGTAGTGATTTTACTATATTTATATTTTATATCTTATATATTACATATTGTCTGGTTGCGTTAACACCAACCTCTTATTATTATCTAATTTTTTATTATTATTTTATTTATTGATTGATGCATCTTTATCGACGTGCGTACTTGTTTATTATATTCATTCTCTTTTTAACCACCCGCCAAGTTCGGCGCGTACAGTTTATTATTATATTATAATTATATTTAAAATAATTAATTTGTTCTTTTATTTCTAATTTATCATTCGACAACGAATGGCAATTTTCTTATTTTATTTTTTGGTAGAAAATGGAAAGTGGAGGAAAATAGTCAATATTTTTTTTATTTTTTTTTTTGAGGAAAATGGACTGTGGAAGAAAGCGGTATCTCATTTTTGGAGAAAAATGGACCCGCCTAAATTTAGATATAATAGGTATTATTCATTATAACGACGAGGCAACGACTAATCGACGAGATAAAATCGGATACTAATCGAATATTAAGAAAAAATAATAAAACGTAGGTATAATAATATTCATTACAATACCACAACTACAAATGTAATCAGTGAGATAAAATCGGACAAGTCTTAAGTTATCGGCATAATGGTCGACAAGAAACGATAACTAGGGAACTAGTGTAAGATCAGTAAAAATTAATAAAATTTCAAAAAATGACTTAAAAAGTTATAAAAATCAAAAAATGCAAAAAAAAAATGCAAAATGCATCAACTTCCGAGCTCTAGTAATTTACCAATACTTTAACCACAATATGTAAAATTCAGAAATTATCGAGTTCAAATAATGCAATAAAACGCAAATCAACGATGATTAAATATAATACTTAGTATGTTATTTTAATTTTATAACATTCTAGTTCTATTAAAATTTCTAATTTAATCTGCAATATTGATTTAAGGGGTAAATGATCCAAAGTTGTAAAAACTATTAAACCGCTAATATTGAATATGATTTTGCTGTCAGGAACTCTAGTATTTGATAAGGGTCAAAACCTAATTATAAATAAAATATATACAAAGAGGGAACTAAAAAACTATTCAAGGAATCATATTACAATGACATTTTATTAAACTTTTTATAGGGCGTACTGCTTATAAATAAAAATTACAAAATATGATAAGTTAAAAAGATGGTCAGAATATAATAGGCACACGGTGTTGTATCGAATAATTAAAGAAAGAAAAAATGTAAATTAACGTTACATTATTTTCGTATTTCCTAATTATAAAGTTCGTTATTTTTCAGTTCGCTAATTTTCAACTCAGTGCTTTACGGTTTATTTAAAACTAAAACTGTTTAATAAGTACCTGTAATGCCATGAACGGTATAAGAGCGGCGGCTGCCGCCCCGTGGCCCAGACAAAGAGTGACGTAGTTACGGCATAATAGACGCCGGCTGTACACTGGACCCATGTTAGATGGCGTAGTGCGGACCACTTCAATGAGACGGCGTACAGACGACGCGCCTGCCGAGCTGGACAGCGAGTCACGTCTCTTGCCACCCACTGAGGACGCGTTGGCTACAGACACATGACGGTGCGTGGTGGACAGCGTGGACCTCAGAGAAGTCGGCGAAAACGGTTTCTGTAACGTAACGCATGCAATGCGCAAATGCGTGTTATTGTATCATACAATCATATTGTTATATTATAAGAAGTGAGCACGCATTGGATTTTTTTCCGAATACACGTCTTCGGTTTTATCAACCGGTAAAAATTCAACTGATCGATCTCGCCACTGATTTTCTATTATGATGTGACAAAACAATTTTAAATCTGGAATATACTATATATGATGTATGAAATAAAATCGTCCTCAGGGGAGGATGGCGGCGAATGGAGCAGTGGCCTTTATTTCTTCAAATTTTTGTTATTTAATATTTATATAATAGTGTTTATGCAATAATTACGTAACATTTGCGGACACTCGGTATCTTATCTTATTGTGATTTTTATATTAATATTCATTGATGAGGGTTATTATTATTTATTGAAATATCGAGTTTGTCCACGCATGTTACGTGGTTAATTAATGTACTATTTTCATTATATCAAACTTTGTAAATAGGATCCCGGTCCGTCACAAAAACTTTATCCATCGCGCCACCGGTTGCTGTTATCAGTGCACCTACCTATAAAAGGCACGGTGGCGTGATCGAAAGTCACCATTTACTGTCTCTCAGTGTTGTAGTAAGGTTAGGTTAGTAAGTAACTTTCCCGGGCAGACTTACGCAGCATTGGAAGACAGTATTCCCGCCCCCCGACCTCGACGAACGATGTATTTATGTTGGTCAGTGGTGTAATAGTCGGAGTTATTCTGGCATTGCATCGATCAACATAACCATCGATCTATGGGGCAATAGAGTAATTCCGGCATTGCACCGATTGCATTATCGTTCGCTCGCGGTCTCTTTTCCCGTCAACGCGACCCGTGATTCCGACCTTTATTCGTTGTAAGCTCTCCGAGCATAAATATATTATTACTATTTATTAATTAGTGTTATTAAGCTCTCTGAGCACAATTCTAATTATTATAAAATAAAATCAAACACAATTTAAATAATTATTTTTCTTTTTATTTGTGTGTTTCACGATTCACCGAGTCTAAACATAAACAGATAGTAAGAATAAAACATAGATGCGAATACACATATAAAGTTTGCCCCTGCCCCTATAACTAAAACGGCTACAACGAAGTGTTACTTATAGGTCAACGGTTCCCAAACTTTCTCAGCCTCGGAGCTTTTTTTAATTAGAAGTTTCTCATGGAGCTCAAGAAATATTTAACTTTAATTTTTATCTACTTGTGTTCTATCTTCTATGAAGTATAATAAACACGAATTGTATACATACGGGATCCCGCGGGATAGTCCCGTATGCATACTCCCGCGGGAGTCAAAATAAAATTATATTTATAAATAAAGTGAAACAATAGTATTAAAATTACTGGAAAAAATATTATTTATTATTTAAATCTACAGAACGAAAATATTTAAAAGTAATACAACGTTACATATGCAAGTCTTGATGTGTGAGTTTTAGTGTGAGCAATGGGCCTACTTTTTACTACTAAGTTTGTCAATATCCGGTGTCATAGAAATCAGTTACAGACGCATTCAAACGTGCTCTACATTTTGTTTTTATAGCTGTAAACAAAAAGCCGCGAAATTCACGAAGATACGTAGTACTAAAAGGCAGTAAAAGCAGTTTAGCTTTTAAACTTAATATTGAATGATCTTTCCCTAACTGAGCTCAAATTCAGATAATGGTTTACATATAAATAATGTCTGATAATAGCTATCGGAAATCATATTAATGAGAACCTCGTATTCTGTTGCATTGAGAGTTGCTGGTTTTAATGTCACTAAAAATGAATTTATAATCCTCTCAAAGTTTTTTCGAATTCATTCTTGAGCATCTTTTGGAAAGTATAAATTCAAATGTTTAAGCAAATAATTTAGGTGTTCTTTAATTATTTCTAATAATGATTCATTTATTGTTAAATTGTTAAATTGTAAAAAGTTTGAAGTCGTTGAAAAACATTTCATGACTTTATTGCCGATATTTCGCAGTTTTTTCCTCCGCCATGCACTTCACTAAATTCACTAGTGGTGTTATAAGAGTTTCAGAGAAGATTTGTGGTTTGCCACCAATAACCAGTTCATAACTTATTAAGTACGATGCTTTCAGTGCTTTTTCGGAATGTGTCTTTACATGAGATACAAACATTTTCTGAGTTGCATGGTGCTCATTACTTTTTCTTTTAAATAGTTTGCAGTTTTATTTATGAAATCAAGATGTGTTTTAAAATTTCGTTTAAAATTAGCAGGGAATATTGAGCTATTAGGCAAAACTTTGTTACATATCACACACTGAGGATGTCCATCAGCAAATTTAGTAAATCCCATATCCAAATATGAATGGTAATATTTTCGTTTTTTGCTTCCTTTCCGATTATCTACATTAGTTGTAGTAGATTATAAAGTAGAACCATGTACAATATGATCCGAATGTAATTCCAAGGAATTATTTTTACTATAACTATTGTTATCTGTCTTCGACTGAGCAGTAGTTGTTGGCTGATTTTCAGGTCTTATGGAGCCCGTTTTAAACCACCGTTCCACTTCAGTAAAAATACACTTGGTCATTTACATACACATAATAAACAATGGACCGAGTCGTTAGGGTCGTTTCGTATTATCAAAAATTCTAAAATTAAATAATTATATACAATTTTCTAATCAGGATTTTATGCAGTATACCTACATATCGGTGAATTATGGCATTCAAGTCTTCATAAAATGTATTCATTTTAATAACGAACATTTTTTTAAATGTTTTATGGTGTTACGAACGGAGTTCTTGGTAAGCCATTGAAGAGCACCAAGGGCTCCGTGGAGCACAGTTTGGGAACCGCTGTCATAAGTGAATCTAGGAATTCATTGCAGGGTGTACCTTTACTTTAAAGAGAGCCTCTGTAGTTAAAAATACCTCTCAATTATCATACATCTAAGAAATGTTTCCCATTTGAAATAACAATATTAATAATATTAAATAATAATAAGATAATGTTTATTGACAATATTTGTACTCATAAAAATGTATTAAAATGTATACCGTTGTAACTAAAATGAGTAAAAAAATTTCTATTCCGAATGTCACAACTAGACGTTTTATTTTATGAAATTAAAGTATCTTGAATTAAACTATAGGATAATACTTATTAAAGTATAAATAAACACAATATTTTCAAAATATGAATAATGATAGACCAAATAAGAATATTATTTTCTATTCAACTAATCTATTTTATACCCAAGTAAATATGTTATTAAATTATAACAACCAATTAATAGAAACGAAATCGGTATGCGGTAGGATAGCTGACGGGTAGTAATAAAGAATAATAACTTATAATATTAAGTGAAATATTAATAAATGTTTTGATTCCAAAAAATAAAAATTGAAACAAATGATAAAATACGTTTATTTTATCACCTCAATACAAAAATGATATAAAATTTATTATATCGTTAAATTTTTAGAATTGGGACATTTTAGAGTCTCAAAAAGAGTTGTCGAAATAACGGGACACTTAGTTAAAAAAAGACATCTGTATTAAACGAGACACCTAACAACCCCAGTCACATGTGATAATAGTAAAAAAACTTTTCATATTTTCTGTATATAATTTTTAAAAATGAATTACCCACAATCAGTATTGTGCATTATCTAGATGATTTATCTAAATAAAAACATTTATATTTTTATCTTATCAGGATAATAATAATTTGAAGTATCTTTTTATCCATCTTTTTAAATAAAATGGTTATCTAAGATAAATTATCTAGATAATTTTGAAAAATATAGTTTTTTTTTTTGTTGTGGGAAGTGAAACGAGGAATAATAAACACTTAAGGTTCGGTCAAACTGAAAGCGGACTGTCCGCGCGGCCAGACCGCCGATCCGCTGCGGCCCGTTCGCTGATAGTCAAACAAAATGCGGACAAGTTTGAACGAACCCGTTTGAAAACTGCACAAAGTGTACTGTTGGTTATTTTTTATTTCTACTTTTTCAGTTTTCTGTTTTCATATTACAAAATGTCAAGCAGTTCTTCGGACGAAGAAGAATTGCTTCTTCTGCTTGCTTTAAGTCAGAATATTCAGTGTATTGTCTACTAATTGGAGATTACGTTTTCGAAATTACGATTAGATTTCAAGTTATTATTATTAGAGTATACCATAAACGCATAGTAGTAATATTATGTTATCTATATTAGTATAATATATTATAAAATATAATATATATCTTTTCTATTCTATTTATGTATACATTTTATTTGAGTCCGCCGCGAACTTTGTGGAAAAATACAACAACCCGTTTGTTCGTGGCAGACTATAGTAGTCCGCCGTGGTAGGCCGCTGTCTGTTTAACCAGAGTGATGCATTTAAATGGAGTACACAGTCCGTAGCAGACCGGCGGCCTGGCGGCACGGACAGTCCGCTTTCTGTTTGACCGGACCTTTAGTATTACCGTATGTATGTTTTAAATTTTAAATATTCATATTCTATAAAAGAAGAAAAGGTATTATATAATTATTTACACAGAAAACATATAAAAATGAATACGTATTAAATTAATACGTATTATTAATAATACCATTACATTTTATAACGATTAACTTTTTTTTCTATATATAATCGACGACTGGGCGATACCCGCTGCTCAATACTTACGCCTGGAATTACTGACGTATACTGGACGTATACATAAAAGCTAATATTAAACTCATTTAATAATTGTGTGAACACATGGATATAAAACGTAAATCTTTGGCTGGAACGTTCCATAAATAACAATGTATAAACTTAGATTAATGTAAGAAATAATAATAAAGCCAACCAACCACTTAATAGTGGCCACGGTTAAATAGAATTAGTGTATATAGATCTTAAATCAATCATGTTAGTGAATACTGAGAATAGCAACGAGGTAACAGTAATCAATTATTAGTTATTGGTAAATACGTACGGTTAAATAAAATAAGTATACCGATTTCTATTGAATAGTTTTATAATGCTAATA